CTGGAGGCCCAGCCTGGGCAGGGGCTGTTTTCTACTATGCCTTGAGTCTGCGGATTCTGCAGGCCAGGAAACCACAGCCTGAGAACTCTCCCCCTGTGTTTGAAAGGAGGTTTTTTTCCAGAACCCGGCTCCATCAGGGCCTCTCTGTGATGGGCTTCAACTAGATCCACAGTTTCTTTTCTGTCTGTCTGTATATCTGTCTGTCCTCCTCTCTAGTGTGCATCGGGCTCAGTGACTCATCTCTAAGAATGCGTGAGAAGTCAGGGCTGTGACATGGGTGAGCAGGTCCTGGAGAGTGCAGTGGCTCCTTGTGCTCTCTGGGGAGGCCCCCCACCAGGCAGGAGGACCCTCAAGCAGCCTCTCAGGAGTCCCACAGAGCAAAGAACCCAAGCCTCCTCCTGCCTGCACCCTGGAGAGCTCTCTGCTTAGAAGAGTGACCTCGCCCTGGCTCAGCCCTCACATTCCTGCAGCCCCCGTATTAGCTGCAGGCTCATGAGAGTCCCTAATCCAGGCCACCCAGCTGGGCCTGTCCCCAAAGACTGGCCCACAGAATTGTGAAACGGAGTAACTGGAGTTCCAAGCCACCTCCTTGGGGTAACTTGTTCCTCGGCGTAGGTGACTAACACGCTGTCCTGGAACCCTCTGCACTGTTACCTTCTGCTGACAGTCACCAGGGCCACTGCAGGTCTGTAGGGGATGGTGGCCGTGGGCTTAAGGAGGCTGTTGTGACTGTCAGTAAAATGTTTGGAGCAGGTGAGGCAAATGCCCAGCTGCAGGCTCTGTGGTCTCACTTGGCAGGTCTGGTGTAGGGTCCAAGCGTCCAGACCCAACCAAATGATTTAAAAGAAGAAGAAGGAGAAGGGGAAGGGGAAGAAGAGGAGGAAGAGGAAGAGGAAAAGGAAGAAAGAGCTGTTGAAGGGTTTCTAAAGGTTACTTTTTGTTGAGAGCATTTGTTGTACAATGTCACAGGACTCCCTCTTCTGTGTCCTGTCTTTGAAGACTGGCTAGGGACAGCTCTGGTCACCATCCAGCAGGTCTCGACCAGCCCTGGGCACCCCTGGCAAACCCCAGGCTTGGTGCTTTTCCTTAGGTGCCTACAGATCAGCTTCTCCCTGCTGATCGACTGCTGGCCGCACCACACTGCGCCGTTCCTGACCGCCGGTCCAGGGACGGAACTGACCGTGTGTGTTCCTAGGAAGCCCCATGGCGCTGCCAGGTGCCCAGGAGGGACCAGCAGGAGAAAGGGTGGGACTCAGCTTAGAGCCGGGCCAGTGTCCTTCCATGCAGACAACCGCAGTGAATGAAAGGAAATGAAGGCTGTCCCCTTGGCCAAAGCCGAGGTGGCCACAGAGACAGAAGTTGCAGAACTGGCTGTTTTGGAGGACAGGCACCAGAAAGCAGGACACAGGGCCTTCTGGGAGGCTTGTGATGTCCTAGCCCTGACCCGAGGGTGGCTCATGTGTTATACTTTATAATGTTCTCTTAGAAGTGAATGGTAATGACAGATGCTGTCAAAGTGTAGGAGTGGGAGTCCCTGTCACGAGACTACCTGTTTGGTTTACAAATCTGCTTTCTAGACGCTGGCAATGCAACAGGTGAAAGTCTTTCTCCTTTTTGCTGGAATTGGCGTGTGTGTGTGTGTGTGTGTGTGTGTGTGTGTGTGTGTGGTGTGTATGAGAGACAGACAGACAGAGATACTTGGGGAGCAGCTGCTTTTCCAGCTGTCATTTCTTGAAAACTAAGTCCAGGTTGTCAAAAGAAAGTAAGTGAAGTATTTGCATGTTTTAAGTTTCTAAGATAACAGATACTGATGGAGTCATTTGAAAAGCAAACTGAGCTCTCTTTAATGCTCTTAGGAATCCTGATTTGTCTTCTAAGTGGAATGTTCCTGAAGAATGAGAATTCTGGGAGGAAGGAACAGCCACCTAGGGTTACCGCCCATTTCTTTGTAAAACACCTAGAGGCAGGGGATACCTTTTGCTTTTAAACTAAGAAAATGTCACCTGCAGGTGCCTTATTTCATCACATTAACCTTCAGAGCCTGACCAGGCAGACTGGTTTTGCGGATTTCTCAAAGATTGCTAATTGTTGCCAAAATTCCTCCAGAGAAGCCACTTTCCAGTCGCTGCTCCCCCACAGCGGAGGTTTATAACTGAAGTTTGCTCTGAGGCTGGTTTCGGATGTTAGCGGGGCCAGGTGCCCTGGAACGCGTAGCTTTCAGGCGGGCTGCACAGTTGATATTTTGCAACTCAGGAGCTAAGGAGGCAGGATCGGCCGTGGTTGTTAATGATGGAAACCAGGCTTCTGGCTGCTTTGGGAGACTGTGTCAGTGGCTGTCCTGCTATTGGACATCATCCAGTCTAAAGCACAGATGTTGTAATACAGGATTTGAATCCATAACCTTTATTTTTTTTTTTTAATTTTCTGAGACAGGGTCTCCCTATGTAGGTTAGTCTGGCCTTGAACTCCTTGTAGCCCAGGCTGACCTCTAACTCACAGTGACCCTCCTGCCTCAGCCTCCGGAGGGCTGGATGACAGGTGTGCACCACTGCACCTGACTGAATCCGTGGCCTCCTAAGCCCGCCTCCCAGCCATCCCCACCCCATGTGAGCCTGGGTAAATAGCCTCTTTCTATTTCCTTCCAAACTTTTTTTCTTCTGTGAAATGGGATTAATAATAACAGTCCCAAAACTATTAGGAACATTACATGTAATGATATAAAAGAATCTACAACCTCACCTGGTAAGTAATAAATTCATAGTGGATGATAGCATAACAATTAAGGAATGAAAGGAAATTAATAAATGGATAATTTGTCTTCAGTTTTGAATTTCCCAGCCCTTATATCTTTGAATAAATGATACTTATGTTTACACACACATGAATGAGTACATAAAATAGTTTCCCTGGACAAAAAGTATTTGTCAAAAAAATTATAAGACTGGTTGCACAGGAAATAGTACCAAAAATCAACAAATGGGGTTATAGCAAATCAAAGCAGCCAAAGAGACCTACAGAGTGAAAAGAAGACCTAGAGCATGGGGAAAGCATCTGTTCCAGCTGTGTCTCAGAGGACTGATATCTGGACTAATACAAAGAACTAAAAGGTTAGACTTCCCAGATTTAAGGGCCCTGTCAAAAGTTAGGCATCTGAAATGAACAGACACTTTTCAGAAGTACAAATTACCGATATGTACATAAGAAATGCTCAGTATCACTAGCCATTAGAGAAATGCAAATTAAAAGCACTGGATTCCATCTTAACCCAGAAGGGATGGCCATCACCTAGAAACCAAGTAACAGATACTGATGAGGCTGGCGGCTGTGGGAAGGAGTAAGGAATCACATTTTCGGTGGGAACACACACCAGTGCAGCCCCTGTGGACAACAGTGTGGTGGTTCCTCATAAAACTGGCAACTCCGTCCCACCCAGCTGTTCTCCTCCTAGCCGTCTTCCCAGAAGAGTTACGGACATCATATTCCAGTGATATATGCATGCCTGTGCCTACGGCCGCACAATGCTAATAGTTAAACCTTGAAATTGGCTGATGTGTCCATCAACAGATGAACGGCAGAGAAAATGGGTTATTTGCACACAGTGGATGCTCCTGTGCCACGGAGAAGGCGAAGGCCGAGCCATCTGTGGGAGAGTGGATGCATCCGGGACGCTAATGCTGAGTAAACCAAATCAGACACACAAGCTTCAACAGGCTGTGGTTTCTCTTAGATGAGAAACACAAGATATAAATCAACGATAGGGGATAGGGAGCAGGAAGACAGCTTTCTCAGAAGAGAAGGGGGTCAGGAGATGGAGGGAAGAGAGGGGGACGAGGGAAAGCAGGTGATAAAGGGGTGAGGGTGAGCTGTGCCCATGTGCCACCTCCACACAAGGGATGCAAACATGGTGTACTACAGACAGAGGTGGAGAAACAGAGATAGAGAGATAAAGATAGATGCAGATAGACATATAGAGAGATAGAGATAGATATAGAGAGAGACATAGAGATAGATAGATGTAGAGAACTAGAGAGACAGACAGACAGAGACAGAGACAGAGAGCAGGTCAGTTCTGGCCAGGTTGGGGCAAGGTCAGCGCCCTGTGACTGTGCAGGGGGAGCTGGGGCCAGAGGAGCCCTGCATTTGGGTCACACCCTGTTCACCGAGCTCTGCGTGTGGTAAAATGGCCTGGATCTGTGCCCTCTGACTGTTCCAGTGTCTGGCACCATCACACGCTGTGTGGCACTGTCCCACAGTGAGTGGCACCATCCTGCAGTGTGTGGCACCGTCCTGCATGTGGAACACAGCTGTCCTGGCAGAGTGCACAGAGGGTGCCCCAGACCGCTCAGGATTCTCTGCACAGCTCCCTGTCCCCTGGTGATCTCTTCCTAGCCAGGCATCTGCCGGGAACTTTCTCCTCCCCCTCGGTCTCGGTAACAGATCATGGCTGCTTCCCCAGCAGTGCAAGCTGAGTCTCGACACAAAGCTGTGGTGTCCGACTTTAGATACAGTATCATAGCGCTCCTCTCTCCCCACGGGGCCCTTCCCTCCTGGCCCTCTCTGAGGGTCGCATGTGCTGCAGACAGGGGTCCTGGGGAATGTGAAATTCTGTCTTTGTATTCTGAAATTTTCTCAATTGGTGAACACTGGGCAACAGGGTCACGCAGGCTCGCTGGATTTCTTTCCGGCCTGCAGTGGCAAGGCGATGCCAGAGTGGACTGCATGGGTCTCTGCACACGCCATGCAGGTTTCGCCTTGATGCTGCACTAAGCCGGGTAGCTGTGATCTCCCCGTTGGGGTGATCTGGTGGCTGCACAGGGAGGCTCCTGGGCACTGATGAATATCAGTGCATTTGCACATGTGTGCGTGGAAGACGGGTGGTGGGACCGTGACAGGAAACCATGAGACAGTGGCAGGGCCTCAGAGGAGGGCTGGGATTAGCTCAGGTCTGGGGGAGTGGGCTCCACCAAGCACAGCTAACCAGGCTCTCCCGGTTCATCCAGGCAGTTTGAGATCCACTCCCCGGACGCGAAGCACACGGTGATCCTCAGGAGCAAGGACCCGGCCACTGCGCAGGCCTGGTTCAGCGCCATCCATGCCAGCGTGAGCGAGCTGCTGCCCCGGGCGATCAGCGAGGTCCGGGAGCAGCTGGGGAAAGCGGGCCTTGCCGGGGGACGAGAGATCCGGCACCTTGGCTGGCTCGCCGAAAAGGTAAGAAAGCGGCTCCCCTCTTTCGGGGTGTCTTCCGGCCTCGGGCTGCAGGCTGGCTCCCTCCCTAGCAGCCCATTTGGGTTTCTGGTCTGCTCTGAACTGCGGTCTGCCTTGTGCATGGAGCAGAGAGTTTGTCTCACTCAGCACTGATTCCCCAGCGTGCTGTCACGTGTGTGGCCAACTGCATGAGCTCACTAATTGTCAAATGGATGGGTAAGCAAAGGGGTGAAGGGTTCACGTGTCACAGCTGCGTGCAAAGGACTCGAACTCACGACACAGCTGCTGCCCAGGGAGATGGGGAAGTTGATGTTCTTGATGAGAAGCGGGTTCTGTGGGTTTTGATAACTGCTTGTTTGTTGCTCAGGTCCTTTCGGGTAATTCGGTCCATTCTCACACGGGGAGCCAGGATAGAGCAGACTGATAGTTTTGAAAGTCAGAGTCTAACATCCTCTGCTTTTTACTCTTGCCAAATACACAGTTTATTAGGCGAGGAACTGCTAGTTATGAATCTTCTGGATGTGAGGGAGAGAAGGCTCAATTCAACTTAGCTGGAAAAGAGGGCGGGTGTCCTCCGATAACTCCAGTGTCCCTGAGCGGGGGTCAGGCGTGGGGGAGCAAGAAAATCAGATCCCGGTGTTCTGTGCACCTCGCCGTCTCTGTTCCCCTGTGCACCGCGCTGGTCTCTCCCAAGCCAGCCCTCACTACCTGGCCCTGTGTTTCCCTTACACCCGGCTGTCTCCATGAGTAGAGGCCTGTCTCCCAGTCCCTCCAGCGCAGGTCCTGGGGTGCCACCTAATGAGACTCACTTGGACCTGCCCAGCCCTCGTCAGTCCTAAGCTCAGCCTCACTTAATCCTGGGTCGGAACGGGTATAAAGGAGCGGTTCTCGTATGGAGAAACAGGGTGCTGGGCTGGGGAAAGACTGGATGAATCCTAGAAAGGCAAAGGCAACAGACGTTTGCTGGAGAGGAACAAGGAGAAGAGCTGATTTTGATGGAAAAATGTCCCCACTTGGTCAAGGGCCTGGGTGGACCGGGGTGGTCCAGTAAGAGATGCTGGGGTTTGAAAGTAAAGATTGGAAGGGATGGGATGAATGCAGGGGTCATTCTGAAGACTGGGCAGAGGGAAGGGAATGAGGAGAGAAGGGGAGGAGCCCCAGGCTGACAGCGACCCATGATGCCACCATTGCGAGGCCTGGGAAGGAACTACCGTCCCCTGAAGCCAGGGAGCTTTGCAGCTGGAAGGAAGCGCCGTCCACTACCTAAGGCCACGGATGTCCTGCTGGTGGCTCCTGATGGCAGAAGCTGAGCAGTAGGCAGGATGATGGGGACCCACGGGGGCTCTGTGAGGATAGATGAGGACCTTTGGCACCAAGAATGAGCTGGATCTGGAGGGAGAGGGGTGTGATCTGTGGTAATCTCACTGCTCACCAAGGACCTGAGTGGTCCCGGCCCAGGTCTCCTTCTGCCCTCAGACACAGAGTTTATTTAAAACCATTAACCATCTGGGCAGCTGAGGAAGGAAACCATGTCATCCTTAGTGACATTCAGTTTTTTCAGAGGTGCCTAATGCATTAGGCAGTTTAGAAGTTAAACCTTTGGTTTATGCCAGGTATTAGCAGACGTGTTGCCAGGTGCTCACACAGAGAGGTGTACAAAGCCTTGCTCTGTTTTACACGATTGTGGCGGGTGCTTCCTCAAAGACTTTACCAGTATGCACTACAGCAGTAAAGATTATCAGGAACAGTTACTAGAAATAAAAAGGTTCCATCCTCAGACTTCTTAAAAGATTACCATTGATCCAAGGGGGCAAATCTCTACTGGAATTTAAAAAAATATTCACTACGGAATCCTAGCGTGCGGAGATAGGAATGGGTTTGACTAAACGTTAGCACAAATGGCAAAACCCTAATACCGCGCCTTTCTTACATTATCACATATATCAGCGACTTTTCTTAGTGTTGGTAAGATATAAAATGTGACCCATATATATTTGGCTGTAGTTTACCTTAAATTGATGTCCTTTGTTTTTTCCTACACTGTGAAGCTTTGATTTTATAGATGAATAACGATGGTTCTGTTACAGTATTGTACAGATTCTGTTTAATTCCAAGGCTTTAGAAGCTGGATTTATGTAAGCTAAAATAATATGATATAATGATGTGAATTTCCTTTTGAAAATCCTGATCAGTGCAAATTCTGAAGCCTCCTTGGAGCTGGACGGATGGTCTACATGTGATGTGATGGACAGCCAGGGGTGTCCTGTACCAAATCATATTGCAGGGAACTTAGTGATGCCCTCACCTAAAAGGGCAGAGGACAGGGCAGAGATGGTCTGTGGCACTGTCACTGGGTGATGCCCAGCAGTAGTGGGAGTCCTCAGGCCCTGGGAGCTGGATGGATGGTCCACATGTGACGTGATGGACAGCCGGGGGCATCCCGTACTAAATCAGACCTCAGGGAATGTAGGGGTGCCCTCATCCCACCTCTTTTCTGTAGATGAGGACTCTGGGTCCCAAAGAGCGGGAGAGTTTGAATCACAATGAAAATCCTGATCAGTGCAAATTCTGAAGCCTCCTTGGAGCTGGATGGATGGTCCACCAGGGATGGTGGGACCAGAACAATGCTGTGAGGTCAGGGTTTCTTTCACTGAGGGCTGTGGCTCACCCACCACCATCAGGTATGTGCTCTCCGGGAGCCTCAGGACCCTTTCTGCAGACCCTGGGGCAGGACTGTGCCCCAGGACAGCCCAGCACAGCATCTGGGGGCATCGTCACCCTAGACAGACCACGCACTGCCGTGTAGAACCTTTGGCCTCGCATCCTTAGCTCCTTGTAACCCCATCTGCTCCTGAGGGCCCTCACTCCTACCTGGAACTGTAAAATGCTTCAGCCCCAGTTGTGTTTTCTCAATCGTTGCTTTTTGATCTTTTCAGTTTTCTGTGCATCGAGTCCTTTCAGGAAATTTGAGAAAAACAAGCTAACAGTAATTAATACGTAGGGACCTGCCAGAATCGGGGAGCTCTGCTTTGTGGTGTTTTGCTTTGACTTGGTATCCCCACTTGTAAATGATCTCGGATTTAAAATGCAAAATCCCAATACCGCAAAACTTAAAGACTCAGCTGGGAGCTCGGAGAATCCAGTCGGTGCTCTGTGCTGCTCATCCCTGGTGCAGGTTCTTCCCAGCGGGAAGGTGAGCTTAGCTGCACCTGCAGAGGTGGTGCTGGCAGAAGCGCTGGGTGATTCCTGGTTGTCCTGTGCCCGCTCTGTTCCAGGCAGGACATTTCTGTAATCCCAGACCCCGCAGGGGATTCGCAGAGGCCAGGGGGACAGTCTAAGAGGGCGCCTCGGGGGCCACAGAGCTTTGAGCTTCTTTTTCTCACTCCCCAGCCAGCTCTTTCCTCGAAGCTGAGCTGATATGGAGCCCAGGGAGCCACTGAGTGAGGCTTCCAGATCTACCTCTAAGCCGATCCCCATGCCCAAGGCCGGCCGCAGCACTGAGAGACAGTGGAAACTGCTCAGATCCCCCACCCGCAGTCGGGAAACGGAGGGAAGGGCCAGGCCCACGGAGGTACATGTTCTGGCTCATCCACATCCATCTCTGTCCTCCGCTGCTCCCGGTGCTTCTGACCCTACAAGGTCATGGAGAGTCTCCTCTCCTCTCCGTTCTTCCCTACAAGGGCCTGGCAGAAGAAGACCTGGAGAAGGCCTTCTCCCTTCTCCTCCTCCTTCCTGATTTGTACTAGGTCCAAAGAGCAGGTCTTAGAGACTGAAGTCATCTTTGATAGGGCAGATTAAGGGAACGCCATAGACACCACACACACACACACACACACACACACACACACACGCACACACACACACGCACACACTTACAAGTTGGCCTTGCTTTGCACATACCCATTCCCCAGGAGTGTCAGAAGCCAGCATAGATATAATGTGAATAAAAGCACAAACTGCTACCCGCTCATCAGTTGACCAGTCAACCAGTTGCTATACAGATAGCAGATGTTCATACTGACCATGACCAATCACATGCTTTCTTTCAAAGCCTGTAGGTGATTGGTCATCACACAGCCATTAGCCATCCATGCACAGAAGACAGAGTTTACATGGGTGTCTCTGTCTCCCCAAGCCAGATCCAGATGGCATCTTACAAGAATGGTTATAGGAAGAGGACACTGTCCAGCAGAACTAACAGTGCGATAAAAGGACAGAGTAGCAATCTGCAAATGGAATCCAAGTCAAACATTAATGGGAGTGTGGAAGAAATAACTGTCTGCGGGACGTTTATACCGGCAGGCCGTTCCAAAAGCTGGTGGTGCACAGCAGAATTGGGTGGGAGTAAACTTGTACCACAGGCAAGAAATGGCAAAAGGGGAAGAGCTGGAGAGAAAGAGCAGCCAGAGGTGTTTTACACCCCGGAGCTAACGGGCAGATGCGGTGCTAATGGATGGAAACTTAGTACAGGGTGACAGTGTGCCATGGGACGGAAAAGATGCTCTCTGTGCCTCAGCAGTGACAGGAGTCAAAGACCTGACAGCTGTGTGCAGAGAAGTGGTGTGGGGCAAAATTAAAAATTTTTAAACCAAGAAATAAAGATTTAATTCCCAGTCTTTTTGATGTTTAAACGAGACTAGTAAATAAACATTAATTTTAGTATATTTTTCATTTCTCCAAACAACCACTGGCAGTCAGAGAGTTTGCAATATTTTGATTAAAACTTTTAAAGGTCATGGAACAATCCTAATTTGTCCCACTGATTATAGGAGCATTTGTCAAATTGCAGCGTTCAGAGCTGTTATCATTGTCCAGTACTACTGGACCTGAGCTGTCGCTTGACCTCATCCCATCTATCTTCTGTCTACATTTCTGCCTAATCTGTTTTATCTGTCCACATGTTCGTCTGCCCATCCACCCACCCATCCATCCACCCCTGTTTATCTTTGTAAACTTGTAGCTCTCTCTGCATACATAATGCACGAATATGCGCTATTTTCTCA